CTTGATCCTTCGAAAATCTTCATTGGAAAGAATGCCATCGGTTGGTTCTGATGATTTTCCTTCAACAGTGCTTGCTAATTTCTTCAATGCTCGAAGACTTGAATTGGCAGTAAGAAATTGTTGGTCAAAATCAGAATGTTTTCTTTTCTTCAGCTTAGAATCTCTAGAAGTAGTTCGAGCATCTACGGAACCAGTCTCAACAATCTCATCTGACATAGCATCTGATTCGTCACCACTATCCTCAGCCTCCTCATCTGTCTCCAATTCCAGCTCACTAGAATCGTTGGCATTTTCATCATCATCTGTACCTTCATCGGAATCAACTTTAGATGCTGAACCATCTTCTGTCAACTCATCCTCGTAATCGGTCCCACTGTCACTGTAGATCTGATTATCACCATCGTCACTAGAATCAACCGCTTGTTCCAGGTCATCATCAGATCCAGTTGCAATCGTCTCACAGTCATCGTCGTCGTCACTACCGTCATCACTATTGACACCATCATCATCTTGTAATAACTCAATACCAGGAATATCAGATGCAACAGATACTTCCCCATAAGCTTTAGGTTTTGCCTTTGGATCGGTAGGACGCCCACGATCCTTCTTAACCAGTAAGGATGGACAAATCTACCAACAGAGAAGTTGTCAGCTTCACTCGTGTATAATTATAGAAAAATTTAAATAAATGTAGGAAGCCATAAATACAAGTAATGGAGGCCAAGCCTATGCATACCTCTCTAAATAATCCAATAAGTGATCGTGCAGCTACAGAAATTGCCTTCTCATGTGATTTCTTATACAACGCAAGATCTTGTAACAAATCTTCGGTCATTAACTGGTTTGCAGGAATGCAAGAATACAAAATTACTATTAAGAGTATACCAGCCACAAAAACAGTGTACCATATGAAACATGATAGAATTCTATAGTAAAGAAAATGTGTGTAAGCTAACCTACATCTGCTTCAATATATATTTAAACAGTGTACCAAATTTCTTTTAAAAAAGATCTCACTTCGAATTAAAAACAGCCAAATCTAAATATTGTATTAACACGCAATGTACGCATTTTTTGTATCTTCATTTTAGACTCTTGGGTTTATACCCTCTCTCTTTTGTAATATTGGATAAATCAAATGATATACGTTGTTTCCTCTAAAAAAATAGAAAAAGAAAACTGCAGGAAAGGTAGAACACATAATCCTGATATTAACATCTGAATACTACAGAGCAAATAGCAAGTAATGAAAGTTACCAAAGGCATACGTAAACATATCTCCCTTACTACATTGAGTCCAACCGCAATAGCCTGAAAAAGAACAATAAACATTGGAGTTCAAGTAGATAGGAGCAATATAAAGCATCACTAATCATACAAGTACCTCTGTTCGTGAACGATCATGTACAAATTGATTTACAATCTGTTTGAACAAAGGTTCAACTGCATCAGGAGGAACCTGAATTGAGGAAAAAGAAGCTAAAATTACTAACAGGGAGTCCATGAGAGTTGGCCTTGTAGAAAAACAATACTAGTCCACATATAAACATTCTAATTACAAGTTTATATTGTAGATCTTGTTTGATAACTATATGGTCTTTTATTTTATAAAATTAAGCTTATGAATACTACGCATGCAAAAGATCTAGTTAAGAGAAGTGAAACCCATAGTAAAGAAAAGGGAGAGGAAAAAACATAATTTTCAAAAACCAAAAACAAAATCCTTGTGGAACGGAGCCATAGGAATTTGAACATCTAAAGTTGCATACCACATCATGACAGGCCTGGACAGCTGCTGCAAGTAAACTTGTGATATCACGTTGATGAGGCTTCATGAATAAACCCGACATTAGATACATGTTAAGGAATCACCCAATTCAGGACGTTAAAACAACATTACGTACCTGAACATACTTCTGAAGGTATGGGTAAAAGCTTAACAAAATCAAGCGGTGAAGCCCAACCGTTCTAGCAATAACTTTCAACATCATCATTTTAACCTGACATTTAAAATAAAATGTAACGAAGTTTTGAGTTCTAGTAATAGGAGAACATTTGGCCCATTTATTGTTTTTGTTAGTCGATCGTGTCATGGAAAGACATTATTTGCTGTTCTGTGCTGGTTCATAAACCCTTTTGTTTAATACATTCAGACTTATGGGGACCTTTCTCTCTATCCATTCTATCAATGGTGTTGTTTACTTTCTCCTATTTATTGACGGGGGAAGGGGGTTGTTTCCTCAGTTAAATCTCAATCATTTTTTTCCATACATATAATTACTTCCGCCCGATGTGTGTTATATGTCAGGGAAAGATGTATATAATGATTATTTATGCAATAAGTAACTACATCACATGTGTTTACCATATATTATGTGTTGTGATCATTTGCTTGTCAAGAACTCAATAATCAGTGTTTGTCATGTCTATTTCCCCACAAGTAATCAAGAAATATGGCATTTGTCTATTTCCCTTTACGTGATCAAGAAATATGATAAACCAAAATAAATGGTTATGTATGGTAATTAGTCAAAGTAAGCATATTCACCTCAAATCGTTCATGGCAAGCATGAAGTCGAGAGAACAGCTTTTCTGCAAACCCCTGCAGGTGCAATGATTTTTTTTTTTTTTAAACTCATATCAGTATATCACTCGATCAAACCCTACCAAGAGAACTTAACAGAGAAAAAAGAATAGGAATGTACAGATAAATATAGAAATAAATAGACCTGTGCATCTTTCAAATGGTTAAGTGGAGAATAATATGAATTGTTTCTGTTTGATGACACACGTTGCTGCCTCTTCATACTACGCATGACTCGTTGCAGTTTCGCCTTTTTTTTCTTCTTGCTAGATGATGTACCTTTATTGTGTGCCTATATGCCCAAAACATAGCAATAATAAAGTTTAACATAAATATAATGCATTCAAAATTTTCAAGCTTGACAGATTTGAAATAGCCGGCAATAAGTTAAAAATCATTCTTAGTTAGAGTGCTTTTGTGGCACTTGAGGAAAGAAAGAAACACTAGAGCGTTTGAAGATAAGTTTTTACATTTTGATGTTTCGGTAATCTTGTACAAATTATAACCTCTTTCTGGATAGCTTTACACACACACACAAACACACACACAAATGTAACTACAGCATGTGAATGATTATTAGGGATTGAAAGGTTCTTTTTGTGTAGTGTGTAGTTCTTGGTTGGGGGTGAACTCTACCCCTGCCCCTAGGCCGTTTTTGCCTCTTCTTTTGAATATATTACAATTTCATGTTTCTTATATTAAAAAAAAACTTACTCTAAGTTACATAATTTTCTAGCTTATGCCTGCACCAACCTTATAAACCAATTCCTTACTAAGAACGACATGAGGCGATTGAGAAGCCACATCATCTTCACCGCTTTCCTCGTCACTATCATCCTCACCATCTTCAATCTTCTCATAATCAAGAAGAAATGATAGAGCAGCAATCATAATCCTAAGGAGTTCAAGTGAATTGTAATCATTCTGAGAAGAGTTAGCAATAGAATATCATTGAATCAATAAATTCCAATACCTTGGTGATGAATGAAAGCATGCAGTACAAATAGCATTTGCTGTTCTTTCATCAAACCAAACCTTTCTTCGATGAAGTTCACACAGAGTTATAAGTGATCTCTTGGCCTTAGCTTCATCCTCTTGCTACAATGAAAGCCAAAGTTTACCATCCATCCAATTCAATCTCAATGCTCTCATCAGCAAAAAAATAAAAAGAATTATTACCTGCAGTAGCGCAAACAAAATTTTCTGGAGAGCTCGATTCTTTGCTTCATTTTTATGCTTTTGATTCATTCTTTTAATGCTGTGAATTACATGAGAAAATGCCAATTTTCTCAATGTTCGGTCACCTAAGGTTTGTAACTCCATGAACAACGCAAGATTTTCCTCAATATCAACCATCTGAAGAACAAAGTCAAGAGCAATTTCCAAACAAAATTAACAAATGCACTACATTTAATACTGAGCGGAAGACAAAATTCAACTATTAAAAAAAAAAATTATACAAAGGACGTGAATTTAATTTAACTACTTTAAATGCAGAAGCACTTCCAATAAGAGCTCATACGTAAACTTCGATCTATACATTTGCAACTCTTCGAGGTTTAGCTCTCTAAATTTCAATATTTTAACAGAAAGTTTATTCATCCACATACAAAAAGAAAGAATGTACGAAAACCAATTTGGGTTCAAAATTCCAACACTACCTTCCGATTCATAAGAAGTATAAGAGCCTGCGCTATGTGGCATCTTAAACCTGAAGGCAGCGACTTTGAAGATGAGTTAAGCAAATCCGCTAACTGTTTAGGAAATTCAACAAGATGTTTCGAGTAGAACGGAGTAACATGAGCCAAAAACATCGCCCTATCACTAAGATCCTTAGCCACTGAAGGGTCGCTACCAATGCCACCAACAGAGGTGAAGTGAAGAGATGCTTGTTGTTTAAAGAGCTCCATGGATGATTTAAATTGGTTGTAGAGCAGAACCAACTCACACTCGTATCCTTCTGGATCACACTTCATCTTCGATTGCAGCAACGGCAAGCTTAACCTCTCAGGAGTCGAATTCATAGCTGAAAAACTGGTTCCGCTTTGGTAAGAACCAAAGGATGTATCGATTTTTTTGTTTTGCTGGTTGGTGTCGAAATGAAAAACCCAAACCTAAAGTCGCCGGAATCGCGCGGCTCGGGCCTGAGGTCGCGCGGCTGTCGTGGTTACAGCCGTCGCCGCGAACAAGAGGTGTGCCGGCTGGAAGAAAACTCGCGGGGGACTAGGGTTTTAGAATAATAAGGAAAAAAAAACAAAAAAAACCATAAATTATCCTCCTTTTATAATTTTCCCACGTGGATTTTTTTTAAAAAATAAATAAAAGGAAAGTTTAGATTTTTTTTTAATTAATTAATTTAGTATTTTTATTTAATGTTTGATCTTGAATGAGAGCTCCATTCACTTGATCGACAAAATTGCAGAATGTCTCGCCCAGCAGCTCACAATGCTGTTCATCTGCTTCGGCGCCTTGGAAGGGCTGGCATGGTTGATGAAGCGCTTGCTGCGTTTTCCGGATTTGATTCACACACCAAAAACACAAATGTTCGTAATGTAATCATTGATTTGCTTTTGAAATCTGGGCGACTCGACAGTGCATTGAATGTGCTCGACGAAATGCTTCTTCCAGGTTCGGAGTTTCGACCTAATCATATAACTGCTGATATTGTTTTCACTAAAATTTTGAAGTTAAATGAGTCGGAGGGGAGGGTGAAGGAAGATGAAATCGCTGGGTTGGTCGCCGAATTTGGTGAACACCATGTTGTTCCTAATCCTATTACATTAACGCAATTGATCTCCATGCTTTGTAGGAGTAGAAATACAGATCTTGCTTGGAATGTTTTGGATGATGTGTTTATGCGGAATGGTCTTAAGGATGCTGCGCCATGCAATGCGCTCTTGACAGGATTGGGAAAGAAGAGGGAATTTGAGAAGATGAATCTGCTGATAAGAAAGATGAAAGACATGAACATCCAGCCTAATGTTATTACTTTTGGTATTCTTATCAATCATTTGTGTAAATTCAGAAGGATTGATGATGCACTAGAGGTGTTCGACAAAATGAAAGGGGGAAAAAAGAAGGCGAGGGTCGTCGCACCCGACGCAATCACGTACAATACTTTGATCGATGGGCTGTGTAAAGTGGGGAGGCAAGAAGAAGGATTGCGCTTGATGAGAATGATGAGAGCCGATGGCCGTGCACCCAATACTGTTACCTACAATTGTTCGATTGGTGGGTACTGCAAGGCGGGCGAAATTGAGACAGCCCATGAGCTCTTGAATGAGATGGTCAGGGAACACCTTGCACCTAATGTAATCACCATAAATACTTTAGTCGATGGAATGTGCAAGCATGGTAGAATAAGCACTGCACTTGAGTTCTTCAGGGAAATGCAGCAGAAGGGCTTGAAAGGAAACTCTGTTACTTACACGGTGTTCATTAATGCGTTTTGCAAAGTCGACGATATCGATAAGGCGATGAAATTTTTGGATGAAATGTCCAAAGCCGGACGTTATCCTGATGCCATTGTCTATTATACTTTGATATGTGGCTTAGCCCGAGCTGGAAGGTTGGATGATGCAAGCTTTATTACATCGAAGTTGAAAGAGGTTATGTACCTAAACTAGTTAAGCTATGTTCATTGGCGTAAATGTATGTATCATATGATGTATACTATACTTCCCGAGCCTCTCATACACAATTCTTAGGAATCTGCTGTTGCTGAGTGCATTATACCCAAACGGCCAAACTATTGTCATCAATTTTTTACGATGTATTATTTTAGATCCACTACTAAAATTTCAGGACAATTGTGAGCTTTAGCGTTTAAAGATTAGGTTGAAGCTTACAGGCTCTTACGTCATTTTAAGCTTAACAATATTGAACTTTTCATATATCATATATTTCATTCTCACCCTCACTTGGGTTTTCCCCCTTTTTCGGACCTATTCTCTAGAAGCTGTTATGGGGTTGAACCAAAAGAACAATTTTTTTTTCCCTTATCTGTTTATTTTTCTTTATGAAAATGAAAAACCAACGATATTTATTAGTCACCAACTTGTAGGTCATAAAAAAATATATTCATAAACCGACTTAATATTTTATAATAGCATACGGGAAGAATGACTTACCAAATTCTTAGTTTTAAATCACATCTCTTCCATTTTAGCTCACAAAATTTTACTTAATATTTTTTTTTGTTTTTGTTCTAATTGGATCATTTTTTAATCAACATTAAAAATAAATTCAAATTAAAAAATAATTTAACAAATAGACTTAATTTCTTAACTAGAATGCTACAAACAAAAAATAATTATGAAGCTAGAATATTAAAAAAAATAATTTAAATTAAATTATTTTTTAAATGAAAATGTTAAATTTTTTTAAAAAAGTTTTAAAATATTAATAAAAAATTTAAAAGTTAGTTATATTTTAATTTTTATTTTAAAGTTTAAGGATATGCCTGAATTTGACACGTGTTGTCGGCGGGAGAATCCCACGTTTGCAAACCTGCAATTAATTCGCAGGCAACAGAGCAACCAACCGATTGTGAAAAATCCAATTCTTTCGAAGACAAATTTCTGTCCATCAATGGCGCTCTTCAACCTCGTCACCAAGGCCGCAGTTCGATCCACATCGCAATCGCTGCTCAACACGCTTCGTTGCATGAGCAATGTCCCTGAAAACACGGTCTACGGCGGCCCGACATCGAACACTCCAAACCAGAGAGTCACTCTCACCAATCTGAAACAAAAGTACAAGAAAGGCGAACCGATCACCATGGTCACTGCTTACGATTACCCCTCCGGTGTCCATTTGGATATGGCCGGCATTGATATCGCTTTGGTTGGCGATTCGGCTTCCATGGTAGTACACGGCCACGACACCACGTTGCCTATTACCTTGGATGAAATGCTTGTTCATTGCAGGTCTGTGGCTCGTGGGGCTAGGAGGCCGCTTTTGATCGGCGACTTGCCCTTTGGTACCTATGAATCCAGCTCTGTTCAGGTTATTTTCCTTTTGCCTCTTAGGTGTTCGATGAAATGATAGCCATCTAGATTGATTCAAAATCTAATTTCCATGCTTAGAGATGGGCCGCACGGGAATCTAAGAAATTCTTTTTTCTTTTTTCATGCTAGATTGTAAAAGGTAAAATCAGTTCCAAGCTAAAGTGGGAGGTCTTAAATTCAAATCAAAACATGCTTCCATTTGATTTCTAAGTTAAATTAGGTCACCATCATGTCTCAAAATGCACGAACAGACAGAACTTACTTTTGATAGATGCTTTGATGCTATTGTTTTTATGTCCATGACCTGGTGTAAATGCTCCACTTAACCTTTTTGTAGTTCCTCTTCTTTTGATAGATTCTTTGATGCTATTGTTTTTGTGCCAACTCCTTTTTAGGATGCTAAAACCTTAAACAAATCAATACCCACTTGACGAAAGAATCATAGACAACATCTGAATTCTCAAAGTTATTCAGAACAGTGTTGCTTACTATTGTCAGGCTGTTGATACGGCAGTACGAGTTTTGAAGGAAGGGGGAATGGATGCAATAAAATTGGAAGGGGGTGCACATTCTAGAATAACAGCAGCAAGAGCTATAGTGGAAGCAGGAATTGCGGTAATGGGGCACGTTGGGCTTACTCCTCAAGCCATTAGTGTTCTTGGAGGATTTAGACCTCAAGGGAAGAACATCGCCAGTGCTGTTAAGGTCCCCCCCACTCCCCTACTTCCCTCTTCTTATTAGTATTGTTTGCAGTTGTTTCTGGGATACAATTTCGTGTTCGGTTTGGCTGCAAAATGCTGAATGGTGTATCTTTTGCAGGTGGTGGAAACTGCAATCTCTCTACAAGAAGCTGGGTGTTTCGCCGTCGTCCTAGAATGTGTTCCTCCAGAAGTTGCAGCTGCTGCTACAGCTGCTCTCCGCATTCCCACCATAGGCATTGGAGCAGGGCCTTTCTGTAGTGGACAAGTTAGTTGATTGCACAGACATCCTTTTACATGCCATATGCACATACACACGTACATACATATAAGGCTGCCAACCGTATTTCCTTTCCTTGAGTTATTTGTTAGCTTCTCTTTGTTTGACCTTTGCATATAATTATTCTTTCAAACTATTTCATTTTTCCCCAAGTTCAGGACTCGGAGTTTCTTTCTCGAGTTCTCAATTAGAGAAGCATCGAAGGTCATCCTTGTTTAGCTTTCCTATATGGTCCTGTTCTATGGTTATTCGATTCTTGCACCGTGATATTCGAAGAGACTGTAAGTGTTTAAATTGTTGTGAAAATCCCTAGTGGTTCATTGTGCTAGACTGAACTGCAACTGTTTAACTTTAAATTGTTTCGAGAATCCCTAAGGAGCGTATGCATCTGAACATAGAGGACATATTCAAGATTAGAGAAATATATCTACTTGGTAACAAGTCATGGAGGCAAATAGCGATTTGTTAATCTTTGGGTTCGGATGCCGCTCCCTCGAATTGAAAGGAGCTTAAGAAGAAGAAAATAGACCTTGCATTTCACTCAACAAAGAGACGGGGTTTATGATTTATTCAATATTTCAGATAACTTGTTAGTTTTTCTCTTCAGAAATGTTGGTTTCATCATCCATACTTGTTTGATAAGCTTGTCCATTGTGCTGCTCGTTTTGTCTTCGATTACTTGACAACAATCATAGAGTCGAGTATCCTCTGCAGCTGGACTAACTAATTTCTTAAACACAGGTGCTAGTTTACCATGATCTACTCGGCATGCTTCAACACCCGCATCATGCTAAGGTTACCATCAGCCTGCACCTTTGCTTCGACTAAAGTTTCTATATGTTTGTTTAAGGTGTTTTGACTCCTGGATTGGATGTGCCATTGCAGGTGACCCCGAAATTCTGTAAGCAATTTGCACAAATTGGAGATGTCATCAACAAAGCTTTATCAGATTACAAGGAAGAGGTATCTAATGGTTCATTTCCCGGACCGCTCCATAGCCCATATAAGATCAGCGACGACGATTACAACGGTTTCTTGAAAGAGTTACGAAGTATGGGATTGGATGGGGCAGCATCTGCAGCTGCTGCTAAAGCCAACCGATGATTAAACTCAGCTGCATTCACTGCCTCGCCCTCTTGGTCGTCTAGCCTTTCGAGTTTTAGATCATTTATGGAATTTATCAGTTGGGACAATTCGTTCTTAGAATCATTAGCTGAAGAACACTTGAACCACTAGAACACTATTATCCCCTTTAGTTATAGCTGATTTGAAGATGTGTTTGGATTCTGAACAAAGCCACTGCCACTGCTACAGCCACCGGATTCTGAACAATAAAAAGGATCTAATTGTATTTTTTATTTATTTTTTTAAATTAATTTGTTTTTTATCACTCGGTGTTGCGAATGAAAAATATTTATAATGATAATGTACACATTTTTTTAATATTGTTAAAATAAATATTTATGGTTAAGTCATAAATATATGATCCTTAGTTTTAATTTTGGGGTTTAGTATGTTAAGATATCAAATTAAATTGAATTTCAAAATTAAATTTAAATTATAAGACCGTTAAATTATAGGTGTTATAGAGACAATCTTGGATGAATTTTTAAATACTTGAAAACATTTTTACATTTTTTTTTGCATGAATTGATCATTCACAAGTTAATTTGTCATCTTAGTGTAGATGACATAGTTGAGAAGGATGAGGATGGGAAAACTTCCCCAACCCGCACCGTAGACATCTCTAGCTAATATGACACCCACAACTTAATATTTTCTTATGCCCTAAGTTATAATTAGTTGCTAGTTAAAATGTATGGCTGGCTGACTACCAAAACGAATGCTATAGCATGACATGAGACTAACTATAGTGTTTAGGGTATCATAGCCCATTATGTCAAGGTTAGGTGCCTATAGTTATGACGGTATCAAACTCGGACTTGAATGGGACTCCAACCAGTCTTAAATGCAATTGAGAGTCATTTATGGCTAGCTCACATATATAATCTATGGTTGGTACAAGCACGAGATAGTACCCTTATATCATATGTTATGTTGAGACTTTAGAGGGTTGCTAACCACCTCTAGACGTGATTAAGAATCATTTACGGCTAGACCACATATGTATTTTAGTTGGTAGGCATTGAGTCACTCCCTTACAACTAGGGAATAACAAAACCGATGGAAAGCAAAAATGTACTTCAACATGCTATACTATCTCATATTGCAATTGATATAATCTCAAAATTGTAATGAACTACCAAAATCAAGTTGATACATAAAAGAAATGAGAAGGAAACCAAAATAGTGGAGAAACAACCAAATATAGATCAGAACTATCAAACCTTCATTTCCACCTTAGTGACTGCCTGATTCCTGTGTAGATGAGCCCTAAAGATCTTCCAATCAGGCAGACTAGAAAGAACGATATTCCGCTACTGATTTTATCGATTACTACTCTTATCATTGGCGTTGTAATGTCCGATAATTCAATCAACAGGCTGAAGTAATACCTCCTGCAGTATGAACCAAAGCGACTCATTCATGACTAATGCATCTCATAGATAACATAAAAAACGTCATCAATTGACTTCTTTTATCTTTCGGAACTCAGAAGAGAAAAGCACATGAATGAACCAAAGTGACTCGTTCACTTAAACAAAATGAAAGAATATACGTGCATACTAAGAATAAACCATGAAAAAGGATTTGAACTATAAAAACGGGCGACAATCAAGTATGCATGAAATAGAGAATTACATGAACTATATTGAAAGAACGTACCATCC